AAGGCTCTGTGGATGTGATATACTTTGTCTTCAGTTGTGCTTCCAGTGCTGTCTCCCATGACGTACTTATTAATAAACTGAGAAAACAGGCTAGATAAAAGTACTTTAAGGTGGGTACATAAATAGTTGGATCATCTTGCTCAATGAATAGTCATCAATGGCTCAATTTCTAGTTGGGAGGAGGTATCTAGAGGGGTTTCCAAGGGATCTGTCATAGCTCCACTATTGTTCAACATCTTCACAATGATTTGGACAGTGGGATTGAGTGCATGCTTAGTAAATCTGTGCTGTCTCCTCAGCACCTCAGCCTTTCCTCTCTCCTCCTTTCCTTTCCCTGGGAGCTTTTAACTTCCTCTGGACCATCCAAAGATCCCCATCAGCTGGCCTAATCCTCCTAGGCAGGTAGGGAGGCAATCCTCCTTCCACTGCCACCTGGGCTGCAGCTCCTGAGCCATGGGTTGCATGGTTTGTAATTCTACCCAACTTGTAACTCCAGGTTGGCTGGAGTTATGGACACTTCAGATAGCAACACTAGGATCCAGAATGACCTGGATACACTGGAAAATGGTCATCAATCAACTATATGAGATTCGACAAGGACGAGGGCAAAGTCCGGTACTTGAGACAGAATAAATGTCTGCACAAATGCAGACTGGCCAGGCTGTAGTACTGCAGAAGAGGACCTGGGGATTACAGTATACCATAAACTGAATATAAGCAAACAGTGTGCTCTTGTTAGAAAAAAAACCTAACACCTTACCAGGTTGTATTAATATAAGTGTCACTTGAAAATCAAGAGAAGTGATTCTTCCTCTCTATCCAGGGCTTCACATGGAATACTGTGCACAGTTTTGGACCCCACTATTTAAGACAAGATATGGACAGATTAGAAAGAGTTTAATGGAGACCAACAAAAATGATTAGGGGCCTGGGAAACAGGATTTATGAGGAAAGGCTGAAAGAACTAGGCTTATTTGGTGTGGAGAACAGAAGGCTGAGAGGGTTTGATAACAGTCTTCGAACAGCTGAAGGTCATTATTGAGAGAATTGAAACAGGTTTTTCTCTGTGGCCATAGGGGCAGGATTAGGAGCAATGGCCTCTAATTGCAAAAGAAAAAATTTAGGCTGGAACTTAAGAGGAGTTTTCTGACTTTGAGGGTGGTAAAGCATTGGAACAGGCTACCTAGAGAAGTTGTGGACTCTCTATCCTTGGCAATTTTCAAGAGCATGTTGGACAGACACTTGGCTGAAAATATTTAGTTAGGGGCGATCTTGCCATGAGCAGGGGGCTGGACTAAATGACCTTGTGAGGTCCATTCCAGCCCTACTTTCCTATCACCTTGTGATCCTGTGATCCTAATTGACATTATTCTCAGAATTTTATGAAGTCTTTGGTTGCTTTCATCACACATAGTTTATTAAGCAATATTTCAAAAAAAGGTAACAATTGTACATAATACAAACATGGTCTTTTTTTTACATTCTTAAAGATTCATTCTATGATATTAATCTGTCAGAAAAGGAGGATGCACTGACTTCTTGCATGAAACTGACAAAACCTCAGGAAAAGAAGTTCTGGAAAGAGCTTGCAAGGCAAAAGGAAGAAATTGAGATGAGACCAGATTTTATTGCTGCTTCCCTGGGGAGATCATACACTTCTGGACCAAACAATTTTGGGGATATTTGCATCTATCCAGATACTGAATTTCAGTTGTGGAGTGACTGGAAGCCCTTTCCTGATAACCAGCTTTGTCCATGTGACTTCTTGATCTCAAAAATAGAAGACTGGGAGAACTGTATTTGCTGTTCTCATCATTCACGTGTTACGTGTTCCCTTACCGATATGGATCTCTCATATTCATGGGTAAGTGATGTCCCTTACTGTTAAATGGATAAGTAGTGAAAATGTTTCCTGATTTTACATTACAGACCTAATGAAGTTCATCACATGGTTATCAAACGGGAAGTAACAGGAGAAAAAAAACAAAGGGACAATTCAGATATGATCCGAGGCATATGTACTTAATTATTTGCACTCACTGACATCCCATTTGTATTTGGTCCATTAGAATATTACTGTATTTACTTGAATCCAAGACAAGTCCTCTCCCTGCCATTCAACATGCAGGAGGGGGACCCACTCATCTTGGATTCAAGTACAAGGTGAAGGCAGGAGCAAGAAGTTGGGAGATCTGACTCTGGCCCCAAGTCAGGATCAAGGCCAGATTTAGAGCCCTATCAGCTGTTTGCCCCTACCTCTGCCTGCCCCCTGCAGCCTCTCCTGCTGCTTTCCATGCTACAGTGGTAGGAGAGATGAATTTAAAATGACCCTCCAATAATTAGATTTGATACATGGAAAATGATAACAAATTTATATTTTTTTCTTCTATATAATGTAATTATTGAGGGGTTGTCTTAAATTTAAGGTCATCTTGGATTTGGGTGAATATGGTAGTATTATAGAGCTTGAATAATTTATATGCTGTCCCGTGTTTACACTTAAAACCTTTCTACTGTAGTTTGGGTCCTTTGGAAGGTTTCAGATGCAGCCTAATCCAAGGGTCAGTGAAATCAATGAGGGTCTTTCTGTGAACTTAATGCAGGGCTCTACTAATCCTGGCCTGTAGGTCACATGACAACCACAGCTACCTTCTGTAGCCCAGACCAAAAATGTAGATGTTTGCAATGTATGCTGTCCACCATATATTTTTATATTGTAGGCCTCTTGCCTAAAGTTACCAGAGTTATTCAGATTTGACCTGGACAATACTGCTGTTCCCCCAAACCCAAACTGTTCAGCATCAGTACTAGCATACATGACCACTGCACAAAAGTAGTAGCTGCAGTACCACCAAATCAAGAGCCTGCTCTGTGCACACTGCCTCTCTAGCAACAAGAAGCATACTATGAGTCAAATGGACTCTGCTCTCCATGCCTCACCTAATATTAACTTAGTCCTCCAGTTTAGACAGTCTTGACTTCTTGAGCTTTTAATCAGGCCTCTAGAGGCTGCTATGAAACCAGTGATGAGCATTAGGGCCTTGTAATACATTATTTTTAGGTGGCTCCTGTAGCTCTTAACCCCTGGATTGCCCATACATTAACATATGAAACCAGTTTTAAGCATTCTTTAGGTGGCTTAAATTTGTGCCACTCCAGGGCAGGTTTATCTCTGATCTGTGTTATCCAGATTGTGTTACACTAATGTGTAGGCACTCCAGGCTACACAGGTAGTGTGAACACCCCACATCCCCCACTGGCCCAGATTGGACCCACTGAGCTTCCCTACTGCTCCCCTCCCCTCCCCCCCAATTTCTGCTGC